TCAACGACTCTGAAGATGATGAGGTCAGGAAACCCACACATGGTGGGTGCTTTATGGTAAATTCAGAAAGGCAGGTTTATGAGAGCAGGTGCCTGATGGTTTAGAACAACATTTCAGAACAAAGAGGCTATGCTACCGATGGCAGTCAGGTTTCTGAAAACTGTTTTTTCTGCAAAACCTGTTTCAGAACAAGTAAAAGAATTTGAAAATGTCATCGATAAGGTACACTCAATACTCAAATCTCTTAACATTCATGTGTCTCATTATGATTCAGAACTAGACGATTTAAATCATATTATTTCTATTTTTACTGATAGTTTAAAAAGAACTCGTCATAGTAATTCTAATCTAAATGATCAGCTCAACAGGGTAACGTTTAAAAGTGAAGAAAGAAGATTAAAGATAGAGAAGTTGGAAGTAGATCTTACTAGATCTAGAGATGACATTATTTATCTTAAGAGAGACAGTCTTGCTATTTTAAAACAAAGGAATATTTTTTGTTTAATTGCAAAGCGTTTATATTTCACTATTACTTAATTGCATCTGGATTGTGAAATAGGAAAAGGATTGCACAAAGTGATTTTGCCCTTTCTTGAATTGAAAGAGGATGAAATCGATGCAGATTGTTATAAGTGTGAATCCATTGGTTCTTCTGATGATGTTTCTAATTCATACAGAATTGGAATTGAGAAAATAGAAGAATACATTAAGTCCAAAGAACACAAAAATATGTTGAAACAAAGTTTAAATGATAAGGATAAAGAAGAAATCAAACTAACTTCTATGCAAAAATATGACTCATTATGCAAGAAGTTGAATTTGGAAAATACTCTCGATCATGAAAATATTTCTGAATTCAATGAAAGTGAAATGAGTGAGATTTATGTAAAGGACGAAGTTGATTGCTCTGAGTTTGTACAAAATGATGTTGAACCAAAGAAAATTTTGATTTCTTAAAATTCAGTTGAATTCGTTCGTATTGTAGAAAATAAAGGTTCAAGTGTTTTAAATGAAAAGGCAACAGTTTTTCCGAAAAGTACAAACAGTTTCTAACCAAGCTTTTGTAAAAACTATACTGGACAAAAATCATACTTCAGAACTAACGTCCCTGGTTGATAGTGATCATGCGAAAGTTTGTGACGAATTCTTCTGTTCAGGACCAATCGACAATGCAGATGAAACAAAAGGTATTTCCGAAATGACCTCATGGAAAACAAAAGGGAAATACGTTTTAGAACCATTGAATCGTGTTAAATTTTGTTACGATAAGGCTGGTCCTAGTGGCACTAAAGGTGTTCCAAGTGAAACTTTTTCAGATCATATTAACACGCCAATCCAAAAGGAAAAACCAAAGTCTAACATTCACAAATCCACTGCTGAATTAATTGAAAAGAAAAGGCAGTTGAATGCTAGATATAGGAAGAATCTGAAAGAAAGAAATTGTTTTTGGAAAAATAAGAATTTAAATCAAAGTTCTATTAATTCAGAAAGAGTTTCAAATCAAAGTACAAATTCTTCTCTAACTCCGAAACCACAATCAAAATCCTTTTCAAAACCTCGAAAATCAACACCACAGGTTTCAAAATCACAAGTTTCAAAACCAATTGAAAAGCCAAAATCTCCAAAAACACAGTTTTCAAAACCTGTCAACACATCAAAAGATGTTAAGGGCAAAAGTAAAGTTGTTTCGGAACCAGAGGTTTCTCTCAAGGAATACGAAGAAAATTTGAAAAATAAGGAAAAGACATTTGCGAAAAAGATGGCTCATAAAAACAGAGAATTTATTCAAATAAAAACAATTCATGTTGATAAAAAATCTTTACGATCACAAAGTGGAAGTTTTCAAAATCGAAAAAGGGAAGAATTATGTTTTGAAAAGAAAATCTTTTTGGGTTGATAAGACTAAGATTTTTCCTGTTGTTAAGAAATCCTCACAACGACCTAAGATGGTTTGGGTTCCTAAATCTCTCTAAATCTTGCAGGTAATGTGTGACGAACAGTACGATTCCGAATGATATATCGACATCGGTGTTCACTTCATATGACTGGGAGAAGAGAAGAATTAAGTGAATTTAGATCGTTAAAGGATGGTGGTCGAGTAAAGTTTGGAAACAACGCTACCGGAGAAATAAAAGGCTATGGAATGATCACAAATGGCGAATTCTCTATTCGGAAGGTAGCTTATGTAGAAGGCCTGCAACATAATCGAATAAGTGTTTCACAATTGGTTGTAGGTACAGGGCTAAAAGGTGTCATTTGATGACGAGGGTTCAGAGATTATTGAGAAGAAATCTAAGGCAGTGCTTCTGAAGTCTAAAAGAAAGGGAGAAATGTATCCTCTGAATTAGAAACCTATTAAAGGGAATCCATCCATTTGCCTACTTACGAAAGCATCTTCAGATGATAGTTGGCTATGGCACCGAAGGCTCTCCCAACTGAATTTCAAGGATATAAACAAACTTGTATTGGGTGATACAATACGTGGTCTATCTCTTCTGAAATTCGAGAAGGAACATTTATGTGCTGCTTGTAATCTTGGAAAGCAAAGTAGGAAGAGTCACTCAACCATCATCAATACCAATATCATTGAGCCACTAGAATTAATGCATATTGATCTGTGTGGTCCATCTGCCATCAAAAGTATTGGTGGTAATACATATATTTTGGTTGTTGTTGATGGTTTTTCTAGAATTACTTGGGTGTTCTTTCTTAGACAGAAATCAGATGCCACTCCGAAGCTGAAAGATTTCATCAAGCAAATCAAGCTTCAATTACGAAAGACTGTTCGGAAAGTTCGCAGTGACAACAGTTCAGAATTCAAAAACCAAGCGTTTGAAGAATTCTTAACTGACAAAGGGATAGCTCACAACTCCTCTGCTCCTTACACTCCATAGCAAAACGGCGTCGTTGAAAGATGAAACCGCTCTCTTTGCGAGGCAGCAAGGATGATGTTATCATTTGCGAATCTTCCTCTCTACTTCTGGGTTTAATAATGTTGTGTCAAATGTATCTGCTAGTATAGTCTTATTTACCGGTTTGGATCTGTCCATTCACGGTTTTACTTTCTAGGGTTAGCATATTTATTGTGCATGCAAGTATCAGCCAGGGTTAACGTTTTGGTCGCTCTACCTAGCTCTCACAGAGAAGTTCTTTCCTTGAACTCTTCTAGAGCTATTCTAATCTAAGCATTCAACACTATTTTGATCTTTGTTCTTGTCATTTAATTCACGTTATTTATTATAGAATATATCGATCTTATTTATTGTTCTACAAGAAGAGGTGAAATGTACTAAACCTAAAGCCTCAATTCCTATGATTGTTGTGGTTTTTGCATTTATGAAACCTCAAAAGGAAGTTCAAGAGGCAACCAAAGATAAAGAGGTTAGTAATGAAGAGGGGGAGCAAGGTAGAAACGATGCTACACTTGGAAAAGAAGATGTGAAGGAGAAGGAACTCGAAAGAAACAAGGAGAAGACAACTGGAGCAACTATTGGAGTAAAGCGCAAGCACGAAGAGAATTCCAACCCAAGAAAGAAAGAAAATTCGAAGAAGTCTTACAAAAGAAGGGTTGTTGCATTCAAAAGGAGGAGATTGGAAATGAAGGGATTTAGGGACATTAACAGGAAGGAGTCTGACTCATGACTCCTACAAAAAAAGCACTGCAGGAGGCAACCCGAGTTTAGTTTGCATTTTATTTTCATTATCTTTAGTTTATCTTTTTATTTTCCATTTTAGTTGTGTCTTGGATATTTTGTTTTAAAATGTCATACCTGACTTTATAGATGTGTGGGGATTGATGAATTGGTATTTGAAAGTGTTGAATTTTTTTTTAAATCTTGGGAATTTCTTGTTTCAACGGCGTGGATGAGCTGTTCCCACGATGTGGAAACAAAATTTTGCCGGTTTTTGCTTGTTTAGTACAAACACCACTGCCTGGCGATTCTATTGTCATGACGTGGACTTTTACAAAAGGTAAATTTTTTTTATCATCCCTAAAAAGATCAAATTAATTTTACTTTACCCTTTCCTTTGTCTCCCACGTCGTGCTTCATCATCATTATCATAATTCATTGAATTTAACTCTAATTTTTCTTATATTTTCGTGTTTAATATTCTCCTTAGGTATGTTGTCTTCACTTTACTCCTACAAATTTTGAAATTAGTCCTACAAATTGAATTGTGTTTTTGAAAATTTACATAATTCTTTGAGATGTGATTATAGGATCTAAGGATTAGTGATGTAAAGGTCATTAGGTTCCTATTGTTTTGTTATTTAAGATCAATTGTTCGATTTAAAAGAAAGAAACAAAACCTTTATGATTTAGATATATTTTGGTTGCTAAAAACAAAGTGATTTTCGTCTGTTCATCAGCCACGACATGAAAGAGCTATTCCCAACGCTGTGGAAATTGGGCAGTTTAGAGAATAGTTGTCTATTCTTTCTGCAAAGTGTGGTTTGTTGTTTTTGTTTGTTTCTTTGTTTGTTTTGCGGAAAATGAGACACCAGAAACGCACTAGGAAGGAAGTTTTCACCAATTCAACCAAGAACACTCAATTGAACCACAACTCCATGAATAGTGTAAATGGCCTTCAAGTATCAATCTTGAGAGACTTGCACATTACAAAGCTAGGCTTGATTTGCTGCATGATAAATAGATTATGCCACCTCTAACTATTGATTGGGATTAGATTCCAAGTGCGGGACTTGCTTCTCCATTATAGCCTTATTTGACAAGAGTTTTTACGGGAAGGGGTTTCACTTTTACTTGTGATGGATGGAGACGTTTATTTCAACTTCAAGAGCCAATATACAAGGAGTTGTGTGTGGAATTCTTTTCCACAAATTTGTTAAATTTTCAAGAAGATATGAATGACAAAAACTTGATATTTAGACTTGGTGCAAAGGATCGCAAATGCAGTTTAGTGGAAGTTAGCTTGGAGGCTAAATCTTTATGATTATCTGGATGTTATTGCTCCAAAATTCACACCTTTTATAAACAATGCATATCGGGTGTTTCCTCAAGAAGTTTTTGATCAAGATGCATGGTTCTGCATGGAAAATGGAGGATTCAAGTCAGCAATTACACCAGCCAATCTCATTCGTTCTCCGATACACCCTTTTTTTCATCAACTCATCAAATTCCCAATCAATCAAAAGGAAGTGGGTGATCGGGTTTGTGGGCTTGATCTATTTTTTTTTTCTTTTGGAGTATTCTTACACCCGATATTGTTTGCAACATTCCTTATCATATAACACTCTTCCTTTCTGAGCAAGCTGCAAAAGGAAGAGCGGGAGCACCAATTTGTAGAGGGCATTTGGTTACGTGTTTCGCCCGATCATATGGTTTGATGAAGCACATGTTTTCTAGGATGCTTAGAGGAATAGAGTGGTGTTTACTGCAACCCCTTTAATTTCAGGATGTTAGGATTGTTGTTGATATCGGAGGAGGGAAATACATGATACCTTTGTATGGCCCGATTTGAATGGTTGTGGAAATTAGACCACAAGAGAAACGAAGATTGCGAAAGAGAGTAGTGAGACGATCCCTCCCAAAACATGGTGCATAAATTGGTGAAATTGCAATAGACCCATTCCAGAGTCAAGCTGGGATATATATTTGGATAATATTCATGATGGAGTGAACTACTTGGGAAATTCTATGGATTTTTCGTTTTCACATTTAAAGATCAAGAGGCTGGTCAACGTGCCACAAAAACTTCCGTATATTCCAACCAGGGAAGAGTCATGGGCAGTTGGAGATGTGGGATCCTACACTAGTGGAGCACGTGGCAAGGAGGATAACGAGTGACATTTTATCCATTTTCAGTTTTTATGTTTTACGTGTTTTTCTTTTTTATTTTTTATTTATTTTTATTTTTTAGACTATTTCTATTTCTATTTTTGTTCGTTATTTTTTTTAATGAATTTGAAACCGAATGATGATGATGTTTTCTTGCTTTATGCTAGGAACTTGGTTTATTTTAAAATAGGTTAAATTCAAGAAAAAAAAATACCATGATAGAATTTTGAAGATTATAATCGAGAGCCATGACTTTTACATGGGGACATAACGTACATATTTTTGAAGATTTTTCTGATTTAATATGCACGATTCCCACAACGTGGATATCTTACCGCCATGTCGTGGAGTTTTACTTCATCATTATCAGAGACATAGTTTTGTTCTCACGACATAGATCTTATTTTCCCATGCCGTGACGACTGCATTGATCGTGAATCAGAATATCTTACACTCGATGCCACGGGGTGGTTGACACTTTCTCACCTCGTATTTACTAGTCGTTGCAACTTTTTGCAATTGTTTGCACCACATTTCAGAAGTTGTTGTTCTTGGTTATACTTTTTTGGCACATTCCAGAGCACCATAGTCCAGTTTCTAGAATATTTTTTTGAGATATCAATGCTATTCCCACGACTATCAGATTCGAGTTTGCAACTACAACCCTAGTGGAGTCTGTTTCTTTTTCTCAATTTTATTTGCTTTTATGTGCTTTATTTTATGCATATAATGAGAACATTGTATGAAATAAGTGTGGGCATGAGGTCGAAAAAGAACTTCAAGCATTAAAAAGTTTTTATTGGAAATTGCTAGATTTTAAAAATTTTAAGTATATTATATACACATGCAAAAATAGTCTAAGTTGAAAATTCTAGTACATTTGTAAAATTTTGATATTATTGCAATGAGACTAGTTTGCTAGTGTTATGTGAGATGATTCAAAGAGAACTCTAAGATTTAGTTGAGCCAATTTGTTATAATGTATCTGTGGCTTTCCAATTCTAGTGAAACCATGAGACAAAAACTCAACATTGTGTAGTTTGAAGAACTTAATAAGTTTTGCTTTGTGAATACCTAGACCCAATAAACAGCTTACTGGTGACGATTTATCTCATGGGTCCTTTCTGTTAAAATAAAATGAGTTAATTTTCCAGGTTTATCTATTTGGTTTATGCATTTTTAGTCCAGTTATATAAAAAATAATTAACAGTTCAGGAGTAGAACCAATATGTGGCATTTGAGACTCAGTGAGTGTTCCCCGCAGGGATATTTATATCAATCCACCAAATTGTAAAAGGTTGGATGGATGAGAAGAAAATTGCTACATAGGTTTCATCGAAAGTCATGAGCTCCATTAGTGGCCTAAGGAATTCCAAGTACCCTAATGAATTTCAAAGAAAGACAGAAACTATAGTATTAATAAAGTTGTTGTTTTTGGAGGGGATTCCAGGCAATACTATATGTTATACCAAATGGAAGCATACAAGATATATTAAATGCATCTTTTAATTCGTCAATACTTTGGTACCATTGTAATGTATTAAAGTTGATTGTATATATACGATCACAAGTAGGTTGTCATCTAAAACACTTGGTTGAAGTTAAAGAATTTGCAAAGCGGATACTAGAGATAGGAGATTGTTGATGGAACTTATAAAACACAACGACTAACATTGTCTACAAGGAAGTACTTTAATGTTTATAAATATCATATTTGTCATAAAGATTGAGTTGATGATGTTTGAGTATACGTCACAATATATGGTACATAGATAGATATTTATGTTTGTTATGTTTAGTAATTTCTTGATTTTATCGTAAAATTATATTCAAGATCAATATTTTTGCATCCATGTTCACACATGTCTATCATCTAGTTGTGAGATACATGAATATTTTAAGGTATAAGTACAAATTTAAGTTATTTTGTTACAATCCTCAAGCTAATTAGGATGTATTTGTCTGATTTTATTAACATAATTTTTTATTAGCAATTTGTAACTGATAATTGATTTATTTGGCTAAATTTAAAATTTATGTTTTATTAATTTTAAAGGTATTTTCTAACATGTGCCTAATGACACATATAAAAATCATTAATACATTTCATATTTATAGTAATATTTCTTATCATTAATACATTTATATTTTTCATTAATTTTTTTTAATAATTAATGTATTTCATAGTAATATTTCTTATTATTAATATTTCTTTATATGCTCAACATGTATTACTAGAAAATCCAATTAAAAAATATAATTCTTGCGACAAAAATATAGACGGTTTAATATTGGATAACTGAGGATAACAGAGACAAACGGCCAAAAGAGCAAGAAACGCACGGCAGCCGTCACAACCCTGAGGAACCGATTCCGTCGCCCATCTGAGAAAAATCGACGACTCTCTTCTTTTCCACGCACTCTCGTTTCTTATTTCTCAAATCGATCCTCCGCCGTCCTTCCTCCCAATCTCACCGGATCCTCCCTCATTGGACGTAAGCAGTTTTTCACACTTTTCTCTTTAATTTCAGCAGCTTTATGTTTATCGATTGATTTTATCTTCAAACCCTAGTGTTTTCGGCGTACAATCACTCATCTTCGCGATTCGAACTTTATGTCTGTAAATCGCGATGTCTCACTTCAGATCTGCTTCTTAAATCCGTTTATTTTGCTTTTCCTTGTTGCAATTTGTCTTAGTTTTTGCAATGAATGAAACTCATATGTTGCTAATTGATATCGTCGAATCAATGATATTCGAACTCATCTCAATTCTAATCTTATGCTGCTCCTTATTAGTACTGAAACCAATTCGATTTATCGAATATACACATATGAGAACACTACATATGGATTTCTTTTGTTGAAAATGCAAAAAAAAAATACTAGAACACAACTCTCACCTTGATAAGCAGGTTGAAAATCATTTCAATCTATTTTTACATAGGTACAAGTTTTGGGAGACTTTCTGTTCTACATGTAAACAATTGTATTTTGGATCATTAGGGTTTTGAGGATAACTTTCGATGGAGGGAATTGGAGGTGCTAATACAGCTTCTGAAGCAACATTGGATCAATGGAGACAATATTCAAGGCTTTTCCAGTATTACCTTGATAAAACCACTCCACATGCAGTTTACAGATGGATCACAACAGCTACTCTAGCACTTCTCTTTGCATTACGTGTCTATTATCTTCAAGGATTCTACATTGTTACCTATGGACTCGGAATCTACCTACTCAATTTGTTGATTGGGTTTTTGTCCCCTTTGGTTGACCCTGAAGTGGACCCCGCAGATGGTGCCTTGCTACCTACAAAAGGCTCAGATGAGTTCAAGCCTTTTATTCGACGCCTCCCTGAGTTTAAATTCTGGTAATTATTTCAGCCTTTCACATAAACATAAACATAAACATCATTTACCAAAATTTCATTTATTGCTTTTGTTGTTGAAACTTGAAACTTGAAACTTGAAATTTGAAATTACAGGTATGCCATTACAAAGGCTTTCATTATATCGATTATGATGACATTCTTTTCCATGTTTGATGTTCCTGTGTTTTGGCCAATACTACTTTGTTACTGGTTTGTACTGTTTGCCATGACAATGAAGCGCCAAATCATGCATATGGTTAAATACAAGTACATCCCATTCAGCATCGGGAAACAGGTCAGCACTCAATTCAAAAAAAAAAAAAAAAACACAAATTATTCGATTTTTCATTGATTATATTTAAGCATTTGATATTTGGTTAATGTCATATAAATATCATTTACCAAAATCTGATAAACCGGTATTGGTATTGAATCCTACGTGGCATCCATTATGGTATCCAATATAACAAAATTTCTTGACTTATGTGTGCGTGGAGATGACATGGCGTCCACTGTGGCATCTAATATTAGGGTTGTTCATTATTTGGATAAAACCTTGGACAATTTGATTCTGATATTTGGATATTTGGATTTGTTTTCAACAAAACCGAATTATTAGAATAAATTACACGAATGGTCCCTATGGTTTGGGTTAATTTGCTCGTTTGGTCCCTAACTTATTTTTTTAACTCGGAAGGTCCCTACAGTTTGTTTTTGTTGCGCGTTTGGTCCTTGTCTTACCTAAAACGACAGGGACCAAACGCACAACAAAAACAAACAGTAGAGACCTTCCGAGTTAAGAAAATAAGTTAGAGACCAAACGTGCAAATTACACCAAATCATAGGGACCATTCGTGTAATTTACTCGACTTATTATTTTGGATTTCAGATTGGTTTTGGTTTATAAAATAAGAACCGAATAACATTTTATTATTTATGTATTTATAATAAATATATCTATACTTATTTATTAATTTAGTAATTTATTTTTCAAATGGATTAAAAAAGTTTCACATAATTAAAAATGTTCTGGTTTATGATATTAATCATTTGATATTAAAATTGGGGTTTAATTATTGTTGTAATAAACAGAAATACAGCGGTAAAAGATCATCTTCGGCTGGCGGGTCGCGGGATTAGTGAAAGAGATAGTATTTATGGAGTTGTTTAGATTTGAATGGTTAATGCAAATTGGATGTAAAAGATATGGAAAAAGAGATGATGAATGATGGTGTTTTTAAAATTTCTTATCTAGTTGTTTAGTCTAGTAAAAAGAAAACAAATTCTTTTGTCACTTATATTAACATGGTTTAATCAATCAAATTGTTTGTGTTTTAGGTTTTAAGTATTTTTAATAGGTTGCTTCTTTTTTTATTTAATGGGTTTAACTTAATTTGGACAACCATATATGGCTATTTTCTTTTGACTTAATCTTAGACAGAATGACGTGATAGGTTAAGCCAAAAGATTTAGCTTAATGTATTAAGATACTAATCGTATGTATATACCTATTTGTAATGCACGTAGAGTCGATGAATAGTTTTTTTAAATCTAAGGGTAAAAATTGATAACATATTTGTATTTTTTAAATATAAAGGTAAAATAGTCTTTAATTTGATTGAAACGTTTTATTATGCGCAAAAAAAATTGAAAAAATAGGGCTTTATATATTTAACATTTTACACATACAAGCACTATTACTTAATCAGTCATTTTACTAGAGACATAAAAATCGAACTAATTCGTCAACCCAACCTAAATTAGTTGGTTGGGTTGAGATTTTAACTCATTTAAATTGAATGGTTCAATCCGTCTAACCAATTTAATTAAATAGGTTGAGTAGGTAAACATGGGTGAGCAAAAACCGCACCGCAACTAAAATTAACCGCAGAAAACCGCATATACCGCAACCGCAATAAAAACCGATGGTGAGCTTTTATATTTTTCAAAAACCGCAAATTTGCGGTGCGGTGCGGTTATTAGTTTTCAAAACCCGCAAAAAAACCGCACCGCACCGCATATATTATATATAATTTTTATTATTAATTATTAATATATTAAATATTAAAAATAAGACAAATTTAATAGATGAAAACATGATAAACTTCTAGAAGATAAAAGTGTTGTTTTTTGTTACGTAACATTGAAAAATGATGAGATTTCACAATTTTAAGATATATTTATTGTTACTTACTAATGATTTCACGTTTTTAAGATATTAGTTGTTTGTGATTTAAGTTAACTGTCTTATATCTTATTCTTTTTTTTTTATTATTACATGTAATGTTTTTGAACTCTTAAAACGGTTTGAACTCTAAATAACGGTTAAAAATCACACAAAATAACCGAACTAAATACATGCGGTTAATAACCGAAACACAAAAAAAAAAAACAAAAAAAAAAACAAAAAAAAAACAAAACCGCACCGTACAAAGCGGTTTTGAATATGGATTAACCGCATTTGCGGTTAGTGGTGAAGTTTTGATCAATAACCGCACCGAAACGCACAGCGCTCACCCCTAGTAAACACTATCAATCTCTTTTCAACCTAACAAACTATTTAACTTTAAAATATATTTACTTTAATAATTAGTTAAATATTATTATGTATTAATCTAAGTATTAATTTATAAATTATAATGTTGTATTATTATTTATGTTTAAAATGATGCAATCATAATTCTCATTTTTTTAAAGGCGACAAAACTAGTCACTTTTTAAAATTACTTTGGAATTAGATATTTTAATGTTATTTGAACAATTTATTTGAAATTTTATTTATCTTTCGAACTAATATATATATATATATATATATATATATATATATATATATATATATCTATATATCTATATATATATATATATATATATATATCAAGGTTTTACACGGCATGAGGCGTGGCGTGGCGGCAAGGCCAAACCTTAAGCTTTACGAGCCATGACAAGCCATGACGTTTTTCAAGGCGTGATGTAAGGCGGCGATTTTATGTTAATTTATAATTATATTAACACATAAATATAAATTTATATGAAATATAAATAGTTTTTAGAATTGTTATATCGATAACTAATAACAAAAAATTAACCAAAAAACACAATAGTTGTATACCCGATTAGAAAAGAAATAACAAAGAGAAAAAAATGTGTCTCAAATGAAAAAATACGCGCCATAACTGTAACATCCATAAAATTAAAGAAAAATTCAAACTTTTAAAACAACCCATAAATCAACATTGTTTACAAATAGTTTTCAAAATAGGTTTAATATCAGAGTTTTCCCAAAATCATAAAATCAAAACTCGATGAGGTGCACGATCACGCCTTTGCCTTCCCGCGATCCTCTGAGGTAACTGAAACATAATCCAAAACTGTAAGCCCAAAGCTTAGTGAGTTCCCCCAAGATACCAATACATAAACAATAGCATATATATAATAACAACATGCAATAGGTCCACAACTAACATACTGGATTACCCCTGAGCCCACAACATAACTTTGGCTTCCCTTTGCCCACAACTTATGTCTGGCTTGCTCCTCGGCCTGATCAGTCCTCGGACTGAATACCACCAAGCCCTCAGTACGAGTCTGGCATGCCCTTCCCGACCCTTAGCTCGTATCTGGAATGCTCATGAGCCCTCAGTATGAGTCTGGCATGCCCTTCCCGGCCCTCAGCTCATATCTGGTTTGCTCTAGAGTTTGTTGGCTACAACACGGAGTAGTACAACCTCAACCCAACCCATACAATATGTTGACATATAACAGATAACATCATAAATAGATAAACAGACAGTATCACCGGTAGTCCTACAGATATACCAAAATAGCATATCAAGACTAGCATGCATATCTATTCCACACTCAACATATCAATAATATCAGGTTATCAACCAATGGGCCGACCTTGGTGCCTTCGACCCGAAAGTATAGTGAGGAAAACTCACCTCACAAGCTGAACGGAACTAATAAGGTTCGAATCCGAATCTCAGCTCTCAACTCAAATGCCTACAACCCCCAAGTGACTAATTCCATCAAAATCCTAACACCACCCAAAATACCCTCAAAAGTCAAACTTGGTCAAACATGGTCAAACTCAATGTCAACTGGTCAAAGTCCATAAACACACCGAGTCAACCTAGCCGACTCAACCCAACCAAGTTAACTCAACATGGGTTGACCTATGCGAGTATGCGGGGCATACTCCGGAGGTACGCTCATCGTACGCAATGCTTCGCAGAAGACCACCATCGGGGTGGCTGATTGGGTACGCAGGGCGTACACTAAGCTACGCGGGGTGTACCCTCGGAGAACCAACTCTTTCATTAAGTGCTTAATGGTTTTAACACTTGAGCTCAAACTTCAGATCCAAGGTCTAGAGGCATACTAGGGTCATAAAGTTCCCAACTTTATGACTTTCCACGTCGAAAAAGTCCTTAATGCAAGGTCTTAATCCATTAAGACCTTCTACAAGAAGCATGGAGCCAAACTAGCTAAAGGGACCTCATTTTTATAGCTTAGGACCCTTCCTAGGGCCTGAAAGGACAACCCAAAACGTCCAAAACCAAACATGCATATAAATGGGACTTTTGGGACAAGAAGAACAACATAAAGTCACCAAAATGAGATCCAAGCAAACAAAACACCAAGGTGAAAAAATTTTAACCTTAAGAAGGTGATGATCCAAGATCCATAAGCTTGCTTCAACTTCTAAGCTCCTTGATGCAACTCCTTCTTCCTTAAACACACAAAGGACACACTTTTAGCTCAAAATTCACTCTTATCGGGTTCAGGGTTACCAAAAATGACTCAAGGGCTTGGAGGATGGAAAGGTGGGGGTAAATGAGCTATAAAGGTGCTTAAATACCCCTCAAACCCTAAAACTTAGGGTTTCACTCGGACATGAGTACGCCCAACGTACATATGTGTACGCCCTGCGTACTAGGGTACACCCTAGTACGCTTCGTGTAGTCCTCCCACATCCAAATTACAAACTTGCCACTAGGGCTTCCCATGGGCACTTCCTTTCAATCGAAGGACCAAAATGACATAAATTTAAACCAAGGGATGAATTTGAAAATACCTGAAAACTGGATTGTTACAACTCTCCCCCACTTGAATTAGACTTCATCCTCGAAGTCTGCTGCAGAGAACAAATCTGGGTAATGCTCCCGCATCTCAGCCTCCGGCTCCCCGGTCCACTCGGAGCCCCTTCGATGCTGCCATCATTCCTTTACCAAAGGTACTTCCTTGCTGCACAAAACCTTTACTTTCCTCTCCAGAATTGCTACTGGCCTCTCAATATAGTTCAGGAGCTCATCAACTTGAATATCATCCAAGGAAACCACCACATCCTCATCCAACATGCACTTTCGCAGCTGCGAAACATGGAAAGTGTTGTGGATCTGACTGAGCTCCTCAGGAAGATCCAATCTGTATGCCACCTTGCCAACCCTGGCGATAATCCAAAATGGCCGAATATATCGGGGACCCAATTTCCCCCTCTTCCTGAAGCGAATCACACCTTTTCATGGTGAGACTTTCAGTAACATCATGTCGCCGACCTGAAACTCCAACTCGGATCGGGGTTGGTTGGCATAGCTCTTCTGGTGATTTTGAGTAGTCTGCAATCTCTGTCTGATCTGCTGGATCATCTCCATCGTCCGAAGGACCACCTCGGTCCGCCCTATAACCCTGTGACCAACCTTGCCCCAGCAAACCGGGGTACAACATCTCTGCCCATACAAGAGCTCAAAAGGTGGAGCACCAATGCTGGAGTGAAAAATGTTATTGTAGGAGAACTCCGCAAGAGGTAGGTAAGAGTCCCGGCTCCCACCAAAATCGATGACACAGGCCCGGAACATATCCTCAAGAGTCTGTATCGTCTGCTCACTCTGGCCGTCGGTCTGCGGATGGTAAGCCGTGATGAAGTGTAATCTCGTGCCCAGTTCCTCATGGAACTTCTGCCAGAAACGGGAGGTGAACCGAACATCACGGTCTGAAACAATGGAGACCAGGACTCCATGGCAAGCAATGATCTTGCGAATATACACATCGGCCAAATTCTCGGCCGAAGAACTCTCCCGAATCGCCAGGAAGTGGGCACTCTTGGTCAATCGATCCATGATGACCCAAATAACATCTAAACCCTTTTCCTTCTTCGACAACTTGGTGATAAAATCCATCGGAATCTGCTCCTATTTGTTGGGTTATGAGCATTCTAACACTCCTAAGTGTACATGCAACCCTAAATACCTTGGATCTATGTTTTCTCTATTATACATACAATTATGAACATCCAAGGTATTATCCTAATCTAGCATAC